ATTCATTGGGGGAAGGGTCGAGGGACGTGTCTATTCTATTCATATTCTAAACACCTTTTTAAACATCTCCAAGCATTCAAAAAGTAACAATAAAATTGTAAAATTATTGAAATCGTTAGTAAGAACTTTAATAGCTTTTTAAGGAATTTAGTTTATAAGGAACTAGTTGTAAGACCGATATATTATACGAGTTTATTAAAAAAATATAAATGTCTAAACATTTAAGAGGTTAAATTTTAAAAGAAAGTAAGAAAATATTGAATTATTGAAACTGAAGTGTGTATTTCTTTTTTAAATTTAATCAAATAATTAAAATAAATAAATAAACAAAAGAAATGATTGAGATTTAATTTAGAAATTTTAAAATTAAAAGGAAAGTTGCATTAATGAAATTAATATACATTTATTATTACATTTATTACAATTATTATATTTAAATACTATGTGGAATTTTAAAAAATAGGAAAAAAAACAATAAAATGACATCTGGGAAAAAAGATCTTTATTTATTATGGTAGATTTTTTACTTGCTAAAATGATATATATATATATATATATATATATATATATATATATATATATATATATCTATAATATCTATATATATATATATATATATGTTGGTGATTTTAGTGTCACCTGACATTTTGTGTAATTAGAACTGATATATGAGATAAGGGCTTATCGTTTGTACTCGATATTATATGTTTGGTGATTTCGGACCAGTCTGTGAAGATGAACATTTTCACACTGGTTTGAGGCCATTAAAAATTATAATAAAAATTATGAACAAAGTAGGCTCATTTTACAAACTCTCAGAGTTTACGGATCCAAATTTCGACTTACGATAGTTTTTCTATAACTTTTCTAAAAACAGGGACAAAAAAGTCAAAAACAAGAAATTGTTTTTATCATGCTAAAAGCTCTTATACTTGTGTTAGCTGCAAGTTTATATGACTTATACATACTTTTAAAACATCTAGACATGTTAGCTTATATGTATATATATATATATATATATATATATATATATATATATATATATATATATATATATTATATATATATATATATATATATATATATATATATATATATATGAATTGTCTTGAAAGACAAACGTAATAAACTATATCTAGTATAGTTGAAGGTCGCAAACCGCACTTTCAAAGAAGACGTAATTATTTGAAAGCATAATTATCTTAACTGCAAGTAAAACGGAGTCATAGTTCACGTAAATCTGTTAAGGCTCTTGTGAGACACTTCGTTTGACACCTATCGAGTGTACAACCGTAGCCTGTAGATATAACCAGAGTCTCCTGGAGGGAGAGCGAGAGTTTGTGTAAAGATCTATACGGGGGTGACACCCCCACACCTGAGCTGTTCGCTACAGTTAGACTAGGCCAATCTAGGGTGACAAACCTTACCGTAAACAAGTCGACGTCTGTAAAACGTCATGAAAGGCAGATCAGTCATTATCAAGTATGGTTATAGCGACTCATATAGGGAATAACAATACGATTTTGGTTTACGGGAAGCTTACATTTTATCGGTTTTATTAAGCTATAAAACTACAAATCATTTTCCAAGTATTCAGTTTCTTACAATTCCGGTCTTAGGGTTTAAGACTACAACACTTTTACAGGCAGAAAATATCAGATTTTCTGGGAACGTTCGCTTTACTTTTACAAACAAAAGATAACAAAGGACAAACATGCATATATTCACAGTTTTGGAACGAGACTTACAAATCATTTTCATAGAAAATATCGGATTTTCTAAAAGATCTACGAGAACTATTCTAAACAAGTGCAAAACCATTTTTATACAAAAATGCTTATGAACTCACCAACTTTTTAGTTGATGCTTTTCAAAACGACTTGTATTCTCAGGGAACAGTAACAGGTAATCAGCTCTGCTATGAGATAAAGTGGTGCGACTTCAAGAAATTGTACTTTTTGTTATTTTTGTGTAATTTTTAAACAAGTACAATGTGTAAGACAATGAATGTTGGTATATTGCAATGTATGATGTTTGGTTTCTATGTTTCATTCATATTCAATTGTTATGATAATGTACATGATGTCATCCGCCCCCAGACATTTCCGCCGTCCCGGTTTGGGGGCGTGACAAAACGGGTCCAGGGACCAAGTGAAAGGAGGTCAGTTTTTGACTAACTTTGGTAATTCTAATCAGAATTATGTTTATCATGTTTCTTTTATTCCTGGATCATTCTATGTATAGGATGATGATGTTGCTTGGTGGATCGACTCGAGTGGAACTAACCATGTATGAAGGTTAAGCGGATGTTTGAAACATTAACACTGCTTGAAGATGGATATGTGTTGCACTTGGGAGACGAATCTTTTAAACCTATTTATGGTGTCGGTATCGTTTGTTTAGAATTTACTTCTAGAAAGACAATTAAGATTTTTGATGTTTTGTTTGTTCCCAAGATTCGAAATAATATTGTTAGTGGTAGCTGTTTGAATTCTGATGGTTTTAAACAAATTTATGAATCGGATAGGTATATCCTATCACGAGGTGGAATGTTTACTGGTTTTGGATATTTGAATAATAAAATTTTTTGTTTGAATGTTATTGATAAATTGTCACTTATTCAAAAATCTACATTTGTATCATCTTCTTCTAAAATTGAGGACTCCATGCTTTGGTATGCTAGATTGGGTCATGCCATTATTAAAAGGATGCATGAAATGTCAAATATGGTCTTATAGCACCATTTGACATAAATATGGGAAAATATAAAACATGCATGCTTACAAAAGTTACAAAACAACCTTTTCCAAGTGTTTCTAGAAACTCAACTATTTTGTAACTTGTATACAATGATTTGTGTGATTTCCACTGTACTCCATCTGTGGAAAATAAAAAGTATTTTGTCACATTCATTGAGGACTGTACTCGGTTTTTCTATGTGTATTTGCTTAATGATAAGAATGAAGTATTGGAAAAGTTCAAAATATACAAAACCGAGGTAGAATTGCAATTGGGCAATTCGGTTAAATTTCTTAGAATTGATCGAGGAGGTTAATATATGGATCCCGTATACTTCCAGTAAGTGCATATCATTCATGAAACCATAACACCATACTTAACCCAACAAAATGGAATCGACGAACGCAAAAATCGATTTTTAAAGGAAATGGTAAACTCGATGATTTCTTACTCGGGATTGAGTGAGGGATTCTGGGGAGAGGCCATGTGAACAGCCTGCTATTTGCTGAATAGGGTTCCAAACAAAAGGAACAATATAGTCCCATATGAACTTTGGTTTAAGAAAAAGCCAAATTTGAGCTATTTTCGGGTTTGGGGATGTCGGGCGGTTATTAAACTCACCGAGCCCAAAAGGAAAAGTTTGGGAGAATGTGAAATAGATTGCATATTCATTGGATATGTTGAACATTCCAAGGAATATAGGTTCTATGTAATACGACCTAATGATTCGGTATTGATTAACATCATCATCGAGTCACGGGATACAATTTTTGATGGGATGCATTTTTCATCGATTCAAAGGCCTAAGGATCTAAATTTTAGCACTAAAGAAGTGCAAAACCCAGAAAGTCAAGATGGTGTTATTGTTCCAGAAATACAAGAGCTTCGTAGAAGCAAAAGAGGCCGAATTACGAAAGATTTCAGATCCGACTTCCAAATATATTTAGTGGAAGGTACAAGGTATGAAATTAGTCTTGAATACTCATATTGATATAGTATTGAGGATGATCCTAAGACATATCAAGAGTCCATGGAGTCTCGAGATGTTGTCTTTTGGAAGGAAGCGATTGATGACGAAATGTCATCAATTCTTGAGAACAATACATGGGTGTTTTCTAATATGCCTCTAGGTTCTAAACCACTTGATTGCAAATGGATTTTCAGAAAGAAAATAAATATTAATGGGACTATTGACAAGTACAAATCTCGGTTGATCATTCAAGGTTTTAAACAAAAACCGGTGTTGACTATTTTGATACGTATGCTCCACACTACTAGAAAACAGCCCTTTAATGACGCGCAAACAATGACACTCGCTGATAGAGGATGCGCATTTGTGCGTGCCCTAAAAATAATGTCATCTCTCTTAAAATTTAAAGGATTTAGGACACGCATTTTTGCGTGCCCTGAAATTAGTGTCTAAAAAAAACACGGAGGGAACCTATAATAAAATGTGTGTCGTCTAAGGCTGTCGCTTTATAAATTTTAATAGCAGGCGCGTTCCATACGGAGGGAAAAATGAAACCCCAATTACTTAAAAACCCCGCCTTCCTTTTTTAGGGCTTTTTGTCAAGAACTTGCCCCACCTTCCTCTACTGCACGTTCTCTCTTCTACATCTTCACCGGCCGATCACTCTTTCCTTCCCTTCTCTTTGCAAATCCTAAGTCGCCGCCTTCACCATCGAACCCAAGGATATGAGAGTCTGGAGTACGACTGATGACATCCGATCACCGACGACTCTATAACAATTATTTCTCATACTCGAACCCTAGATCTCGCCTCCTTCCATCCTACATCTCTTTGGCGACCACGGCTCAACTGAAACTCCACCACATCTAACAGAAGGTAGGACCGCTATATCTCATCATTATTTCGGTGATTCAAATGGATGCGACGATATCGTCTCCATCACAATCATCAAGGTTTTCCCTCTTCAAGAGTTTGCCTTCTCCTTTTTTTTTCTTCATTTAGATGCTTATGAATCTCCATTGGGGCCTTTGATTTGGGGATGCTATGGTGTCTCAGTTTCTCATCCCAAACAAATCGATATCTAGATTTCCCATTCTTTCTCGTTCCTATCTCTCTTTGGCACTTACCGATTCTTCTCCCTTCCCCGAGACAAACGTCGGTCACCTAAACTCAAATACTCTAAGGATACCTGCTCTGATTCATTCCAAAAAATCAGAAAAATCTCGTTGTCTATCCCACAGTTTATCGATTCAGAATTTTGGGAGACACAATCGTGCCTCATTTGTGGTTCATGGCCTACACTACTGCTTCACCGCCCTGCGCCACTCTTATCTGCCCTAGCTCGTCCGTCCTCCACCACGTCCTTCGTATGGTTATGTTTATGAATGTATGTTATTCTTGATTCAACACATTCTATGGCAGCTAAATGCAATTTTAACCTATATAGTTTTGAAGGAATACAATTTTAGAGGTTATTGGAATATTTACGTTTTTTGTAAAATTTTATATTTTCTGATAGGGATTTTTATGATGGTTTGGTTTCTTGAAGGTCTTCATGGTTCCATGGCTCCCATTATTTATGTTATTCGATCATTACAACTTGTTTAAAAAGATCAAGATTATAATAATTCTTGAAGAGGTAATGCCGATTCCAAATGTCAATAGGATTAAAACTTTACATTCATTTTCAGTCCTTGTTTAACGGGTGTTAGTTTGTTAATCAGTTTTTTAATTTGGAGATAGAATAACTGGAGTCCTCTTGTTCAGAACTTTATTCTATACATATTTATTTGTTCAAAATTTGAGACTTCTAACTATAATCTTTCCTGCACCATAGAAAAAGGGGGACAACTTGGGACATGCAATTGGATTTCTAAACAGGAAACTTGGGTTCAGAAAACATAGTTTTAGATTCTTTGTAGAAATGACAACCAAGTTGTAAATTCCAAAACCATACAAAATGTGCTTATGTTTCATTATCTACTCTATATTTACCAGATATAAGGTAGATATTTGGTAATTGGATTATGTGCATTACAGGTGAACATGGAATATAGTCTTGATCTTGGTGGTAGCACTTTTGATGTTTCACTTCTCACCATTTCCAAAAAAAAAAAAATAGTCAAACATGGCATTTAAACTGGTTGCAGAGTTTTTGACAATTGATTCCCCTAAATGAACTTTGCCTCTTATGTATAGAAGAGGTTATAAATAACTAATAATATAGAAAATGAATTCTTTCCTTCTTGTCACTAATATTAAACTGCAGGTATGATGGTGGGCTGTTTGGATAATATTTATCCAACAAAAATATAACAGATGAATTCTTTCCCTCTTTTCACTGATAAACACAAAGCTAGTTCTTATATAGAAAAAAATGAGTTAAGCCTATTTCTATGGTTAACAAGTGTTGTTTCTTTTTGACTTAAGGGTTGTTTCGTTTGGGACTGTTTACAAGGGCTATATTGATGAGAATGTTCGGGTTGGTCTTAAATCTCTGCCTGTTGCTATTAAGGTTCTCAACAAGGAGGGTCTTTAAGGCCACAGAGAATGGCTTGTAAGCTCCTCTAGTTCTTTGTCCTTGCAACAACTAGTTCTTTGTTTTGTTTTATCTTCCTTATACCATTCTAATCTATATCTGTAATGGCGTTTTGTGTTGTAGACTGAAGTTAATTTCCTTGGTCAGCTTAGACATCCCAATTTGGTGAAATTGATTGGGTATTGCTGTGAAGATGACCACATATTTCTTGTTTATGAGTTCATGTTTCGAGGAAGCCTTGAAAATCACCTATTTCGAAGTATGCAACTTCCTTCCATATATATCTTTTTTTTCTTTATTTCAAACATCTCAAACCCCCCTTTTTCCTAACTTCAATACTCTACATAACGAATAGTATATGTCATCTTCAGCCATGATAGTTGTAATACCAACTTAAATACCAACAATAATCATAACAAGCCTTTCTTGGTAAATGTATTAGAACTATTAGTGATTTAGTGGTAATTGCAAGAGGGAGAGGAAGGGTGACAATCCTTTCATAATGTTTTAGCAGCTAGGTCAAAATTGTTTATTATATCTGACTTGTTCTGTCTTTCTTGCCCTTTTAACAGTTCAATTGTGCTTTATCATTTTGTCATGTTTGTACTCTGAGGAAATAGGGTTGTTAATAGCTTTGTGTGTGGGAAACGTGCTTATATATTTCTGTTAATACAAATAAGATTAACAAAGAGTAAAGACATTAAAAATTTATAAATGACTATTTTACCCTTCCTGGCATTCTAAATGATTAAAAAACTTGTGAAAGAACACCAGATTTTGTATACTGTTAACTTATTTTTGAAATCCTCAGAAACAGGTGCGCCATTATCATGGCCAACAAGAATGATGATTGCTTTTGGGGCAGCAAAAGGCTTAGCCTTCCTTCACAATGCTGAACGACCCGTAATCTATCGAGACTTCAAGACTTCCAACAATTGCAAATGAACAGAAGAAAACTGGTATGTTACTGTTTTATGAATTATTGAAGGTTATTATTGTTTGTTTTAGATGATTAATTTGTTCTTTTTGGTTTTTTATGTGAGAGAAGGCGCTTTCAACAGTGGGGATACCAGACTATATTGCCCCTGATCTGAAGTGTTGTTGAAGATCAAGTTTATGGTGATTCTGAAGCATACGATTTGGATAGGCAAATGTGCATAGATTACGTGGTATGTTAATCTTTTTTTCTCATTTAATCCAAACCCCACTCGAAAAAAATGTGTCATTTATGTTAAAAAGATGAAGTAACAAACTAACAAGTTCTTTCTTGAATCTTGATTCAGGAACGCGAGAGAGAACACTTCTCACAGTTTATAACAGAGGGTTTCACTTCTTATTGCAAGAGAAAGAGAAGAGATAAAGTATGTAAATATCAAGAATCTATTTTTCTACAACTTTTCTTCTTTTCTTTAAAGTACTAAGTATAAAAAATACATTGTTTTTTATTTTATATATGAATCTTGGATACTTCACAAGATTCTTACATTCCTTTGGTCAATTATCATTCCTCTCATAAGAAATCAAAATCATTCATTTTATCTTTCTAAGGTTATTTACTGATATGATTTATTAATTTCCGAAATTTCCCTCAAGTACTGCAAGTCAGAGGTGTATACAGTCAACTGTGGGATGGGATTTGGTCAATTATCATTCCTCTCATATGCTCTCAACATTGGCTGCATTCAAGAATTAACAACATGCTTTCATCAACATATTTACAATATCATTGTACTTTTGTTTTCTTAAATTCTCCCTATTACAAGTTTGAAAAAACTACCTAGTTATAGGCATTCCATTGAAATATAAAGCAACTTTCTCTATGATACCTGAGTAAATATTCATGTGATTGATTAGTTGACATTTATATTTATTTCTTTTCTTGTATTAGGTACAAAGTACAATTTGGATTATAAATCTCCTAATAGATCAGGATAAAACTTCAATTCAGGAGAAGATATGGTTGAGATGTTGAAGAAGGTTAGCACCATGTTCTGAAAAATAAGTCATAATCTTGATGGTTTTGTTTTGTTGATGGAGTTTAGCAATGGAAAGATAGTTATGGCATTGGGGGAGGATACAATCTCAACTCAATAGCAAATTCAGTACTTTCTTGTGTATAAGTTCTATTAGAAGACAAACATATTTTTGAACCCTTTGAGATTTATCCATTTGTCTACTATTGGAATGATTATTTGTATGACATTAAGTTTTGTGCAATGGATTGTATTTTTTGTATATGGTATTTTATTTTCTAGTATGAGACATGAAATGAAAATTTAATTTGAAAATTAGTAAATCTATAAATAATTTTTTTTAAAACAAATTTAAAATTACGATACGCAAAAATGTGTGTCATCTTCATTTATGACATGGCCTTTCTTAACAGCGGCTTTAATGATACGCGTTGCGTGTCATAAATGTGTGTCGTCTATAGACGACGCACAAAAGCGTGTCGTCTCTCGTTATGACTGGGCCTTCCTTGACACACATTTGCGCGTCGTCTGAGCGTTTTACGACACGCATTGCGCGTCGTAAAAGGCTGTTTTTCTAGTAGTGCAAGTTGCACGTATTTCTACTATTAGATTGTTAATTGATATGTCAAGCATTCACATTCTGATTATCCATCAAATGGATGTAAAAATAGCCTTTTAAAATTGTGAACTTGATGAAGAAGTTTACATGAAACAACAAGAAAAGTTTTGTTATGCCCGGTAAAGAGCATATAGCATGTAAACTGGTAAAATCTTTGTATAGGTTGAAACAAGCACCCAAACAATGGCATCAAAAGTTGATGAGGCTATTTTATCTTCTGGTTTTAAGTTAAACCAATGGGATAAATGTGTGTACAGTAGATTCAATGATGCTACTGGTGCATGAGTGATCATTTGCTTATATGTAGATGATATGCTGATTTTTGGTACTAACCAAGAACAAGTAGATGAAACAAAGAAGTTGTCGTCATCTAAGTTTTCCATGAAAGATTTGGGAGAGGCGGATGTACTTCTTGTTATAATAATTAAAAGGGTGAGTAAAGGTTTAGTGATGACTCAAAGTCTCTATGTTGAGAAAACTTAATTTCAGTGATTGTTCTGTTATGAGTACTCTCATGGATTCAAGTGTGAAATTAATGCCTAAAAATGGAATTCCTATTTCACAATTAGAATACTCTAAGGTTATTAGTAGCTTGATGTATGCAATGACAAGTACCAGGCTAGGTATTACTTATGCAGTGGGAAAGTTGAGCAGGTACACTAGTAATCCTAGTGCTCAACATTGGCAAGCAGTCAATAGAATTTTCTATTATCTCAAGGGAACCATGGATTATGGATTGAGTTACTTGGGAAGTCCTTCGGTCTTTGAAGGTCATTTGGATGCAAGTTGGATAACCAACATGGAGGACCATTCCCCAACAACTGGTTGGATGTTTTTGCTTGGGGGAGGTGCCATTTCTTGAGCTTCCAAGAAGCAATCTTGCATTAAAAACTCGACAATGGAATCCGAGTTTGTTTTGTTAGATGCTGTTGGCAAAGAAGCATAATGGCTTACGAATTTAGTCTATGAGATTCCTTTGTGTTCAAAATCGATTGCACCCACTACTAGAAAACAACCCTTTAATGAAACACAAACAATCACAAGCGTTGATTTACGATACGCATTTTTTACGTGTCCTAAAAATAATGTCAGTTTTCCAAATTTTAAAGGATAGAGGACACGCATTTGTGCGTGCCCTAAAACTAGTGTCCAAAAAAAAAATTAAAAACATGGAGAGCACCTAAATTAAATGGGTGTCGTGTGGAGATGTCATTTTATAAAATTTTAGTACGCGCTCCCTCATTAATAGCTGACGAGGTAAACAAATTCCCAAAATTTTTGAAGACCTGCTTCTTCTACATCTACTCATTCTCTTCTCTCCACCCATCAGCTGGAAAAAATCTTCATTTTCTCCCTCCCTTCTCTGTGCAAACCCTAGAAACTGCAACCACCATCAATATATCCAGAAGCATCATCCCTTTTTGCGTTTGAAGGAAGCATCGGCTTGTGCCATTACACCTCAATATATCCAGAAGCGAAGCATCGACTGCCATAAATTCATCATCGGCGAACCCTTAATAGGTGGCGTCTCCGGTGGAAATAAAAGGTGAAATTGAAAACCCCCTCCGGGTGTGTGTGTGTGTGTGTGTGTGTGTGAGAGAGAGAGAGAATAAATAAAAATGGGAATCGAAGCCAGGGAGTCCTCCGGTGTCGGACGTCCCGAGACGAGCAGTGGTAAAGAAGATGTCGGTCCAGCTACCACCCCAACCAGTACCTCCAACTCCGTATGTCGGCGTTTCTCACTGGCGGCTCAGCCGGAGATAATGAGATCGGCGCAGAAGGATGACCCATACGCTTCTTTCGTCTATGAGGCCTGTCATGATGCCTTTCACCATTTATTCAGTTGCTATCTTATCTCAAAATTTTGGGCTTTCCCTCTAAATATGTGTGCGTTTAGACTTTAGGTTGATTGTGATATGCATTTGACCTTCTTTCTAACTTTTTATCTTATTATAGCAAAAGCAGCAAACTGCAAAACCTAAACAATCATGACCCATGATAGGCAAAAGAAACAATTAAGGCGGATGATAAACCAGAGACGAATCACAAAGGTACAAACGTGATTTCTCTTCTTTATTTCATAATTTTGTCATGGGATTTTAATATGACTATAGAAAAGGGAGCTTAAAAGTTTCCAAGTAGTTTTTCTGTCCATGTCATCATGGACTGTAGCCCCACATGCCTTTTTCTTTACTCTTAAATTAAATCAATTTTGTTTGGTCGTTGCATCTTCTTTACAATATGAAAAAATTTGGCGATGTTGATTGGGTATGTTCTATGAGATATGTTGGGTTTTGAGCACTATAACACTCCTATGGTGCACATGCAACCCTAAATGCTTTGGATCTATGTTTTCTCTAATTATACATGCATTTTCATTTTTTCCAAAGCATTCTCCTAACTAGTATACAAATTGTCAAATGAACAACACAACTAGTTAGATTACTTACCTCTTAGAAGGACTTGTAGTTCTTGACCTTTGAAAGCTTGAGCACCTCAAGTGTGATGCCTCTAATGGTTCACAAACACCAATATGCAAGAGGAGGCTTGAGAGAATAAGTTACTTAGCACAAAATCAATATACACTCTCCAAGAATGTTGTGGCACAATGTTGTAACTGATTTTGGTCATGAGGGGTTTCTTTTATAGTGTGGCAAATGCTAGGGTTACACTTTGTAAACCCTAATGACCTTTCATCTTACTTAGGATACATGGGTTAACCTCCATGGACAATCCATGGATTATCTCATTGGTTAAGCCCATCCTAAATAACCATGGATTATTAGCCCACTATTAGAATCATTGATTTACACAATCAATCCCCATATATTTAATTACTCTCTTTTGATCACAAAATTAATTACAAATTAATTCTTGATCAATACTAATTAAATAATATGATTTCATATTAATATATTATACTTGTAATATATTAATAAATCATAAATAACCTAATTCTCAAAAGTCCATCCTATCAAATTGCACTGGTGAAGGCAACCCAAAAGGACCATGCTACAATCGGGTCAAGTACATTCCAGTTATAGTTATGGGCTTAGACACCAAATCCAACAGTATCCTACTTGGATAAGTCTAATAACTATAGCTGACAATGTGACTTCAGGATCCGACTTAGCAAGCGTAAGCTTTCAAAAGCCACTGTCGAACTCTGACCTAGTCAATGACGCGTCCTTCAGATAAGGGATCATATACTCCTTTGTTGTCAAGATATCTATGCGGAAAAATACATGGAACATAGTCATACTTATTGTCCTGCAATTTGTTTCCCAATTTCCGATTCGTCTGACATAGAACATAACAGAACACATCAATTTAGTTCTGACCGGGCCCGTCACATAGTCAAAACAGAATCAACGAGGGGCCCAAGATATCACTTTTAATCCTCTTAGGATAAAAGGAATAGATAAACTTCAACATTATATGCTTGTACTAACTACTCATCAAATCATGCACAACGACACGTTTTATAACATCAAGTTAGTAATGCGTTTTCATGCCATCAATGCACAACCAACTCGTAGTCAACAACTCATATATCTTGGTTTGAAGATTATATGATATTATCGTCTCACAACTACTCGTGATAAATTCCATGAAGTAATTCAGGTGAGCACAGGTTGAATCCAATACTCAAATCTTATTTCAGGAGCACTCATGAATGGTGTAGCAAAATCTTGCTATGTCTAACGCCTTAGACAATCTACAAGCCAACTCATGACAGTCTTCTTTCATACTTACTTCCAACGTATAATCGACTGTGGATAGTTTGAATAATCTTATTATTCGGGAAGTCAAAACATGCAAAGTGAAACACAAGAATAATACTAATCCTATATGGCCCAAAAACTTTTGAGTTTAAATAAAACACCTTTTATTTAATCACCATATTGATTACACATTATTCATTGTATATTGTTTCGATTTATCAACTAATACTTGAATTAAAAAAATAGCTATCCCATGCTCCAAGCATGCACACTATGTTTACCTATGGTCCTTACTTTGTCAAATAAATCATTTGTAAACATTTCCAACGATACTCGTTTCACAATGCCAAATCCTTATCGTAAGTGTAAGAATACCAAGTTCTTGCCACTTACTGTAATTTGTTAGATTCTAAATTTATATGCAGTGATCCTTTTGTAATGACTATGTACATAAGCCATAGAGACTTTGTCAATTACAAAACTTTCCACTGGAGATTGTTACAAGACAGTTCTATAGATCCGAAGTCTCATATTCAAAGCACATTACTTTGAACATCCTTTTTTGCATAAAAGTTTCTAACTTTCTCATAGATTCTTGATATCTAACTCCAATTATGGAAACATTTCCATATTTGCTATATGACAACTCATTGTTAATAGCATCCTGTCTATTCATAATAATGTCAATATGGTCCATCATTACTATACTTCCAACTATCCATAAGCAACTAATATTTGGCCAACCTTGGATTGTTCTTAGTAGTTGTTTAATAACTTTAGTCATATCCAGTTCTAGTCCTTTTTCCCTCTAAATGCCCTCGGCATTTTGAAAATTAGAACACATGAATATTATAGCATATGCAATCGATCCTATACCTGAAGCATATGGGATACGATTCGTAATGTCTTATATAAAGACATGATACTTGACCAGTCTTTTGCTATAATAATTCCATATATAGAATTTCCAATGTTGAAGCATTTCAACATGGTACTCATATAAATCCTTGACTAAATTTTATTAAAATCTCATTCTAAACTTTTAGAATTGAAATGAAGTATAAGTTCCTCTCCCTTTATTATAGCAAAACAAATTTTCAACCCTGCAACTTTGTGAATTGAAATCTTTGTTTTCTATAATTAACATTGCTAACTTGCAACACTTACCAAAATAATTATGCTCCCACTAGCATAACAATTATTTTGTTACTTGCATAACATTTATGCTCCCACTAGCTGTGACATAAATCCAGAAGTCAACCGGACTTCTAGAAATCAATACTTTATTGACTTTCTTACAAAAGTTCAGATTTCTGACACGAGATGCTTCGATAAGCCTTTATCTAAGCTTCTCAAACTCATACACCTTTCCTTAGATAGCTCACATGTGTGTCTAAACAATTTTAGAACTTACAGCAATAAGTCTCAAATGTTTAGACCTTTTTCCATTTCTCATAATTCGAACTATAAAGAGGGATGCCGTAGTCATAATCGAATTTTGAGAATGCAAATATCACGATTGCTAACTTTTTAAAATCTACTTAGTGAAAGCGTTTCCTCACAATCATTTTCATGAATTGGAGAGAAACCTTATGACACTTAGATTTTTTTTATGGTGTATGTGTTCCTATCCATGTGAATTTGTCATAACCATAATCTTGAGACAAGGTTAGTGACAAATCCAAACTTATATGGACTGAACCTATCTAATCTGAATTCCTTGCCACTCGGTAGCACAAGGGCCTACCATTGCTTCCAGGTTGTTGTGCAAACAATTGAGAACTCATAGAACTCACACGCATAATCAACTTTGACTGGAATGGCCACAGAAACAAGAATATGTCAACATGATAGGTTACAAACCTCTAGTCGTGTGCTAGTGATTAACAATAAGTTTACTCTTGATTAGTCCTTGAAACTTTTCAAGACCTTTAAGACTCCCACTAACCTCATGACATATAAGATTATCTTTGTCAAGAAACATTACTTGACAACAAATATTCAAGAGTTACTGCGATTTCTTATCAAGACAAACACTTTTGACAATCGGTCTTAGTTGATCTTTGTTTTATCCAAAACATTACAACTTACCAATTTCAAATGTACAAGAGTAGAAAACATTTTACTCTACATTTGCTGATATGTCACTCAATATACAATCTTGGAGTATGACTCTAAGATTTGATTTTGGAATGAAGTATGATTCATCTTAATTGATTTAACCATTTCAACAATATACAAGGAATTAGTCTTAATTTCCCAAAGATGAAAATTTTCATACATCACACAATACAAGTTGCATGATTCCAAGTTTCTGTCCAATTGAAACTTGGGTGATGAGAATCTTTCCTTGTTTGGTAAATCCAGACACTACCTCAAACGAAAGAATCAAATCTATATTGCTAAAATAGAAACATACAAACATCAATTTTCACAAATGTCATTGCAAGGAAATATAAATAAGATAAAAATCAAAATTTTATTTATTTATAAAAGGTGCGGAAAACTTTTCCGTACAATGCAATTACAAATAAAAACTATGTTACTACAAATTTCTATGCAATCTATTATAACTCTTAAGCAGCAGCTCAAAAATCCGATCATCGAACCATGCGATTGAAATCCATCTCTTTACGATCAGACTCTTCATGCCTTTCCTTTAAGATTCCTTTGATCCTACAAAACATCAAAATGTAATCTTATCACATCATGTATTAAGAATCTAAAAACAGGAACTTAATAGAGTTAGATAGTGGATTTACCTGAAGTAGAGTCAAACATTTTTGACTTTTACATTCTCTTAGATCTTTCAGGTATTCAGGACAGCTTCGCTTCCAATGTCCCTTCAAATGGCAGTAGAAACATGTGGACTCTTTGGCATTTGCACATGGAACTATCTCAGAACTGGCTTGTCTCTTATGGTCAAATCTTTTGACCATTGCTATTCCCTTCCCATAGGAGAAGGGATCTTTTCTGGACTATCTATGTCATTGCCTATGTCCATGGAAGCTTGGGAAGTAGATCTTCCGTCAAATTTTCTTGACCATTGTGCCAAATCATTGCTGACTCAGCAGCAATAAGCAAATAGGTAAGATCAATAAGGGTCACGTCGCGGTCTGTCATACAATAGTCTTTAACAAACTGACTATAGGACTCAGGAAGTGACTGAAGAACCAAGT